TGGCATACCAGGCCCAACGTTTACCATGCCCCCTCGGAGTGAGAGCTCACTCTATGAGAGGAGTGGCATCTTCTTGGGCATTGGCGCGGGGCGCCTCGATAGCAGACATCTGTAGAGCTGCCAGCTGGGCGACGCCTAACACGTTGAGCCCGTGTCCTCGCCTCAGGTAGGCAGTAACACCGGACCCGCTCGGTGTCGATCACGCTTGCTGCGCCATTCCCCTCTATGGACCGGATACGTGCGCTTTTTTGCTCCTCAGTTCAGTTCCCCATAGCAAACCCTGTTGGAGTTCCTCCCGCACCCTCGGCAGTCAGGCATGGCGGAGCACCAGACGCCAGGCTCAGCACTCGGGTACATGCCCAAGGTCAGCTCTTGTGCTGGGCTAGGTGCCCGTGTGTAGTGATTCCCCCTTCGGGTAATCCCACATGTGTATTCTTCCACGGTACGGCTCCCCTCACGGTAAGCCCGTGTCTTTCCCTGGCAGTCGTTCGCTGCCATCTCTGCTGCGTAGTTATCTCACCCCAGGGGGTTGAGTCTACTGCAGGGACTTCCATATGTAGTACTGCCCTGGGCCAGTCCATATGTTTAATTCCACATGATACCTCCTATGTGCCAGATGTGGCTTCCGTAGCGTCCCAACTGGGTACGAGGGGCACGTAGTCTCGGCTCCTCAGTGAAAAACTGATGTGCGTTTGCACGCGCTATCCTTTTATACCTGCGCTGCGGGGCTGGGTGCGCGTGACGAAACATGCACGCCAACTGTCATTGGCTTGTTTAGTTAACACTCGAAGGTGATTGGGCTCTCGGGCGAGATCCCAATTCGTCAGTCACGACTGACGTAACGTCTCCGTTCCCTCCTTCAGGGAACGAGGGTTACACAAGTAACCTAGACGTTCTTCAGTATTACGGTCTATAGTAAAATTTATAGTGCAGTTCCAGTCTCCACCAATGACAACACATCCTTCACTGGAACACTTTTTAAGACTCTCATTAAGTATATTTAAAAAATGTAGGTGTTCCTGTCCCACTGTCCCACATAAATATTTATAAAAAAAACTAGCATTCCTTGAATTTGAGCTTTAACTACCAACAAACGACCCTTCACTGGTTCCTCTGTACTTATAATATCCACCCTTATGGTTGAAGAGAAAAAGATTCCCACCCCTCTACTTAAATTTGTACCATGACTAAGTATTTTATTTCCTTTCCACCACAAATTCCACTCAACTTCATTCATTAAATCACTATGAGTTTCTTGGAGAAAGACAATATCAAGCTTTTTTTGTTCAATTGTTTCATAGACTACAGCACGCTTTACACTATCCCTCCCACCATTAATGTTTAAATAGCCAATCCTCAAAACCTCCATAAACAAAATTAAGATTGGGAAAAAAAAAGTAAATCATGATAGGAAAGCGAAGAAAAGACACCGTGTAGTGTAATACATGATTATTTTATATTTTTGATTTGCTCTTTCTCCTATTCATTGCTTTACCTTTTCTTATAGTAGTAAGATGCTTTTTCAGCCGAAAACGCTTCTTTTCACTAAGTTCCTCAACTCCAACAGTCCTCTGATAAAACATAACAGATTGAACAAATTTGTCTACATCAGAGAAGTCATTTATGTCAATTTGTCTACCATACGTTTCATCCAGAAAACTATTGATTTGTTCCAGACTATACAAGGATTCTTTATTGAGACCTCCTGAAAAAACTGCCTGAGTCCTTGTGAACTACCATCATTTTCACACATAGAAACTTGTGACTCAGTATCATCAGATTGCTCCTCCTCCACATCCTCATTATTCAAGACACCTAAATAAGATTTTTCTTAATTTCCATCATTTGCACTTTCCAACGGTTTAGTACCACTAGTACTGGCTACTTCAACAGTATTAACATCAGAAACTAAATCAGTTACGCTACTCTTTGGGCCTACATTAGCTACATCAACATAATTTATAGTATCAACAGCCAGTAACGCAGCTGTGTTAACATCAACTAAAACTGAATTAACATCACTCACCTCAACAAGTGGAACAGCCTCATCTTGGGCCGCATCAACCAGATCAACGCTATTATTTGCGACCCCATCCTCTGATCCTGCCGCGTTCTCCGCACCTGTTTTCTTATGTGGACACGTAAGGCGCTTGTGTCCGATATCTCCACACTCGAAACATCTTATGCTGCCAGTAGTTGCATACACCATATATAACCTTCCCTCGTGTTTCACACGGAAATTAATATCCAGTGTATTCTCGGGTGATTCTAGCACCATGTAAACGTACCATCTGAAAGACGCAACATGCTTCAGAGCCGGATGTTTGCATCCAAGCGCAACAGTTTTAAAGGGACTAACAACTTTTCCAAAACGCGCTAACTCACGTTGCAAAACGCCATTGGAAACGAAAGGCGGGATATTTGAAACTGTTACTTTCGTTGTCGATGTATACAGCGGTGAAAGTTGCACAAAAGCATCTTTAATAGTAAGGCCAGTTACTACTAAACAATTAACTAAATTTTGCCTGATTCATTCGTGATGCCGATACAATATTCTCATGACCAATCTGATCCCCAACTGCAATTAAAACATCCTCCACTGTAGCATTATCCTCAGGAATGCACCTGAAACCATTACGAAGTGATAATGGCGGCGTCTCATCAAGAGACGCCATTCTGCCACACAATCACCAATATACAACTATTTTACAAATTACTTTCTAAACCATGTATTTTCTGGAAAGTAAAGAAAAAGTAAGTAGGAAAAAGCAAGATTTAGAAACTCTCACCACTCACACAGTAGCTCTCACCACCGCCACCACTCTCACCGACTCCCAGCATGCAACAGAGAGAGAGAGAGAGCGCGAGAGACAGAGAGGGGGGGGTCACATCACAGTGGAGTCAGCTGTCTTAACCGTGGCTTGTGTACTGCAAACATACCAGCTTCATCACGGGGTCTGTCACGCGACTCTGTTCCCCTTTTGGGCTCTGTCTTTACATTTATTTTGAAAGCTGAAGCTCGCGATTATGGTAAGGGGCGTTACATTTCCGACGAGTGCTTGTGGTGTTCGGCCAATCACAATGCACTGGGTCAGCTGGCCAATCAGAGCAGACTGCGCTTGTCGGAAGGAGGGACTTTGTAGAAAACAAAGCGTTTGAGAGAGGCGGGGCATAGAGGACCTACAATAATGTACAGTATTTGAAAAATAATGTGTTTTTTGAACATTAAAGCATGTCAACATATTCTGTTACACCAAATACACAAAATAATGATCTTTAAAAAAGCATCATATGACCCCTTTAATACTTCCTTCTGTATTTTCTGTCTTATTGTTTCATTATAATGACTCTATTGTTACAGACTCGATGTTCATACTGCGGTGGCACGGGGAGAACTGGCTACAATCGCTGCAGTCCGTGTCATGGCTCTGGCATGACTAGGTATGAAGTCAACCCTTTTAAATAATTAATTAATTACTTTATTTATTTATTTTTTAACTCCTAAACATTTATTTAATATAGAAAAGTCTGTACAGCTTGATTTATTTAATTTAATTTAATGTTTAATTTATTTCATTTGCTTCATTTAATTTTATAAATTTTTTTTTTTTAAATAGCTAACACCCTAGCATCGTTGATGGGGGTTTAGCAGGGTTTTTATGGGTCTTCTTAAAAAATGTAAGAATATAGTACTTATTAAATGATCTGTATTCCAGGTGTCATTCCTGTGGAGGAGTTGGTTCAATCACTTGCAAAACTTGCAAAGGGCAAGGGAAGCTCCTCTGCTTTATCAAACTTAAAATCACATGGTGAGAAGGCCATGGCTACCAACGATTTTCACAACACACTTTCACAAGTTCACTGTGTACAAACAAGCTAATGTACTTTTTCATTTATCTGTTTATTTCTCCACTCATTCTATCTTCTTAGGAAGAACAACATTCATGTGGCACTGATTGACAAGGGCTCGGGATTCCCGGTTGAGCTTCTTGTTCAAATTAGTGGAGAGAAACTTCTTACTGATATGGCTCCAATGGTGAGCAAAAATATCACGTTGTTTAAGAACTATCAAAACATACTGAACTCAAAGGCAGTCCAAAAAGGCCATTTATTGAAGCCTAATTTGTTGAAACACAAACTTGGCCTGCTGTGTAGCACCTACACTCTGCATTTATATCTGAAAGATGTCCATGTTTGACTACAAAGTCTGTTTTTAACAAAATCTCTGATTATTTCAGTCCATAGATTTCAAACATGCAGGCCAGTGTGTGAGAGTGTAGCCAGAGAAAGAGTTCAAAATAAAGTATTAATAAAACATAATTTGTGGAGGTGCATAAGCTCAGATCATTGAAGCTTACAGTCAATCATTTCCAAAAACAAATATAAAACCTGTCCTGATTGAAAGAACACAAGTTATGAATTCAATATTTGGTGATAATATACCGTCAGTGTTGGGAAGGTTACTTTGGAAATGTAATAGGTTACAGATTACAAGTTACCCTACTTAAAATGTAATAAGTAGTGTAATTTTTCAATTACTTTATTAAAATAATGTAACTGATTACATTTGATTACTTTTTGATTACTTTTCTAAATGTCTAATATTTTCAACTGTTAATCACTTTCAAACATGTAAACCAGGCAGGGTTAAACTTACAATAAGTGCTCAACACTGATAACTGTCAGACTTTCGAAATCCTTCATCACTTGAATAAAGATTAAGATTATTTTAAAGGAGACATTGGATGCAAAAAATCTTCATTTGCATATAAATGTGTCTTAGCAGTGTGTGGACACAACCACCCTACAATGATAAAAATTCACTTTTTTTTTAACCCCCCAAAAACCTGAACAGTCTCAATTATCAAGCCATTTTGATTTTGGAATGAATACCAGCGCTCTCTTCCACCTTCAGCGGGATCGGGAAAGGTCCGATTTGAACATGGGACACCCGGAGTGCAATATGTGCTGTATGTCAGCACGCTGCCCACAAGGCTATTGGTGTCAACACACTTTTTATTTTTTATGGTTATTTGCGAATCGCGTTTGCTCTTCCACTAAAGAGAGTGGTGGGGTGAGCAGAGCTCATTAGCATGTAAAGAGATATGCACGGAAACGAGTCGCTGTGAACAGAGTTGTGTTTTTGACAAGGTAAAAAGGGTGTTGTTTTACACGACCACTGAGACCATTTCAAGAACACCCTAAAGAATCATACCAACGTGGAAAATGGGCATCCGATGTCCCCTTTGAAGCACAGCCACCACAAAATCAGACTTACTTTAAAATCATTAAATACATATTTAAAGTCATAACAAGAAATAGTTTAATAGCTATGATATTGTTTTTGAAATCAAATCTTTGCATAGACAGGAAACACTGGAATCTAACAATGCCTTAGAAAAAAACAGCTGATCTTAAAAAATAAAGCATATACATAAACATCGGATAAGCATGTTATAAACTTCTGAAACATTGGTGGTGTTTCATATTTTAGAGCAGTCACTGCAATTTATGAAAGAACTCAATTAAATCTGTATGTGGGAGTGTTTGTGAAAAAAATCAGATGTAACCCCCTTTGTAATCCTTAACATTTTCATAAGTAACTAATTTAATTACATATTTTATCTTGGTAACTGTAACTGATTACAATTACTTTTATGACTGATTGTTTGACTCTGACTCTGAAGTTTTGACTCATCACTGCAGGTTTATCCAGTTGTCAGTTTTCCGGACAGCTCTGTGAACGCTGAGTCTGAAAGTGGCGTGAGGGAACATCAGGCTCAGTTCGCAACCACTTGCCATATTCTGCAACAGGTAATTCATCTGTTAAAACAAATCAAACACTTCTGATGAAACACCAAAACCTAGGGCTGTGCGATATTGAAGAAAAATGCGATATGCGATACCTTGTTAAAAAATACAATATTCGATATTGCTTAAAGTGTGTAAAATCAATTTCAATTATATTTTAAAATATTTTAAAATGAAAATGATATAACCAGTTTGTTTCACATTCTTTCTTGGAAAAGAAAGAATCACTACAACTTCTGAAAGTGACCAGCAGTGTTTTAGCATTACATAAAAAGTAATGTCACAAATCAGAAAATGAAATTTTAACATCAGTGTGAATATACAAACAAAAAAAATTAATGACACTAATTTTATATCATTGTAACTTTGCTTTCCACACACTTTAAGTATTTCTTCATGTACCACAGCAAAAACTATAGTCTGAGAATGTTCAAACATGATTAAAGACAAGTGAACAGTCAGTAAAAAAAAGAAAAGAAAAAGGAAAAAAAGAAATACACAATTTACAAGCATAGATAAAATAAACAGTAGTATTCAGATACAGAAATTTAATAATTAAGTGTAAAATAACACTGCATAGTATTCACTGAATGAATTAAATTTAGATTAATCTTTGTTATAGCCGTTTTGTTGTCTGATTAACATTAGTGACATATTCAGCAGCATGTATTTATAGGCTGCTGTCCCTTTAAAACTGACTGCACGGATCCAGTATAATGATACACATCCGATTTCTTTCTCAGCTGTTTACATTCATTTAAAACATGACTGCGTTTATGAGGATGATCGTCGAGACGGGTACTATTGACATAATTCTGTGTGTATGTGTCTGTTCAATCATGAGGAGATGTGAAAGATGAATCAACTCGATGTTTGCACGCCGTCTGAAACTCATCTCTCTGTGTGTGCGCTTTGCACGTGTGCGGCAGAACTGAAGAGACGCCGCGCGAGATGCGGCTTGTGCACGCACTTCAGGTGTGAGTCAGACGGCAAGACGAGACGCAAAGAGTTGTTTTCTGCAACTTATTGCACTTAATAACTCTTTTTAACGTCAAGCAATTCTCTGCTATATGCGTCGAACTAAAACTTTGACCTTTTGCAGTTTTGATTTAAGTAGCCTATTGTTAAAATGATTCAGATATCGCACGCCCTTGCGATATGCATATTGCGATATTTACATTTGCGATATTTCGATATATCGTGCAGCCCTGCCAAAAACCTGCGCGTGTCTCTTTAAGGCCACATCTCATCCTCCCACTCTTCTGGGAATTAAATGAATGACTGCTTCCTGTTGGCTCAGTCCCGTGGAACCCTAAAAGAAACCAGATTAGAGGTTGTGATTGACCAAAAGCAGTCTGAATATTTCCATATATTCATACAAACAAGACACGAATGATGACAAGAAATAGAGAAAACCACCCACTGCTCTTTTCGAAACAACTTTACCTATATTAAACAAACAAACAAAATACAACAAAATAGTCTCATGTCACATAAAATTCACAATAAATTCTTGAGAAACTCTTTGAAGTAGTTATTCATACAGTAGTAGTTATTTACATTTCTCAATAGTAAAACAGTAAGAAATGCTATATGTAAAGAGTAACTGAAGTAGAACATTTTATATCATATGGAGACAAAGCATGTTTTAACTCTGTTTTTTTATTTTCCAGAGGCAAACCATTGAGCTTATTTCCATCACGCGAGTGCATTACGCCTGGAATGAGAAAACTCACATTTATTTTGTATATGGAACCGAACACAAAGTCTACACCAAAGATTATCCTGTCAAATGCTGCTGTTGCTCCATCCTTTAAACATGCTGTATAATGCCTGTGCTGCCAGTACTGTCCGTTAGACAAGTAAAAGTGTTATATCGTCTTCATATTAATGGTTAAACAACTTTAAAATTATTACAAAGAAACTGGAAGACAGTTTGAACGAAATGAAACATAGAATGTCTAGATGTACTAGATAGAACATATAGAGCATCTGTATTTCACCCCAAAAACAAAGGGAAAAAGCAAACAAACAAACAAAATACGTTACTTTAAACTTTCAGAATGTTTTATTTCGCGTTTTTTAAAAATATTATTATTATTTTTAAAGTTTCCACCACGGGATAAAAATATTGTGACTTTTTGGAATTTTGAAAAAAAAAATTCTCGCAGTTAATATTTTTATAGCTTACGAAGCCCCACACGACATGCAAGAAAAAATAAATAAATCGTGCGCACGATTTACTAATTTGTTCCATCGATGTACTAAAACGTGCACATGATTACTATTTCGTTCACTTGATTTGCTAACAATTTACTAATTCGTTCTTTCGATTTATAAATCGTGTGAACTATTTATCCTACAATTGTTTTCCTGCATGCCATGTGCGGGGCTCCGTAATAGCTCATGTCTCACAATTCTGACTTTTTTCTTGCAATTGCGAGAAATAAACTTGTAATTCTGATGAGAAGTGTCGAAATTGTGAGATATAAACTCACGATTGTGAGAAAAAAGTAAAAAAATTTGGATAAAAAGTCACAGTTGACTTTTTTTTTAAATTATTTTGTGGTGGAAGCAAAAAAAAATGTAATCTTATTTTTTCCCCGTTGATTTTGGGTAAAATATGTTATAGTATGTTTTTTTCTTTTTTTATTCAAATTTCACCATGTCTGCTCATCAAGAAGAATAATTATTATGATAGTTGTTACACAGAGACAATTATGACATCATGCACTCTAAAAAATGCTGGGTTAAATATAACCCAGCGCTGGGTTTAAAAGGGACAAACCCAGCCTATTGGGGTTGTTTTGACCCAGCATTTTTTTAGAGTGTGTTACAAAAAAAATCGCAATACATTACACAAATTATTTGCTTAGTTTTATGTTATACAATAATTTGTATATGCATTGTTCCACTGTGGCTAATCCTGTACTGTCCTAAATGAATAAATTACCAAGAAAGCTCTATTTTTCTAAGATTCTACTCACTCTCATCGTTTCAGAGCTGTGCGAGTTTTTTTCTTTCGCAAAACACAAATTGAGATGTTAGTCAAAATGGCAGCATGAGTCTCCATCCACTTTCATTGGATGTTTTTCTTTCTTTTTTTCTTTCTTTCTTTCTTTTCTATGAGCAAATTAAGACTGACGCGGTCCGTCATTGCATTTTGTGTGCCGCGGGTTATAGCTGGTTTGCAATGACACGAATGCGAGTAGATATAACAGAACTTTATTTTAGAGTGAACTGTGCCTTTAAGGATTCTGTCATTTGTGAGTTGTATCAGGCGCGCTTCATTAAACCAGGCTGCCAGAACATTATTGTGGGCGTTTCTTCATTACTGTCCAGTTTTTAGTGTTCAAAACTGAGGAAAAGCTCTCAGTAAACATAAATGGGAAGCGCTGCTGGAACCAAGATCATTGTGAAACAGACATCACCAGCAATTTGTGCGTTATGGATGACAAAGACGAAGATACAGGTGGGTAAATGACTTTAAACGTGCATATTATAACGGTCTATTGTTGTTTTATTTCCTTACAGTTTTACTTGAAGCTAAACTACGTCCATTGTCTACTCTGAATGGCTTGCAAGAAACGAAATGGTTCGTATCTATTGCATGTATAGCAAAACCGTATTAGTTTGTCCTACAAAAAGTATGTTTTAAAAGTAATAAAAAATGCATTTAGTCATTAGACTACAACCATCAATATATCCTGAGACATGTCAAGTGATTATGGTAATTTTTTTTAAAGTAGCCTAATAATAACACGTTTGTAGAGTTTAGTTTAAATGCTTTTGCGTTCAAGTTTACTTCACTTCTGTTCTTACACCACAAGAAACTGCATTACTGCAAAGATCATCCCTTTTGCACAACGTCAAATAAGCGGTTTTGCGACAAAAACGTCCATTCTGTTTGAACAAAACTTTTTCCAAAGCTTCTAAACGCAGTGCTAGACTCATTTTCATCAAATTCACTTTGTAAAACACTTAATATAAAATGACAGTTTTGTTGAGGATCACGTTATATCTTGGACGGCTGTCAGTTGCATCTTCAACCACGTGGACGTCTCTGGACGTCTGTTTTGATTTTTTAAAATATTATATTAAATATAATTTAATATAATATTAAATTATATTTAATATTAAGCTATAGCACCATTTCAGTGCTATAGCTTAATATTAAATATAAGCAATCTTGCTTGCTTCTATGCAATTTAATTCGACAAGCATTACATGAGTGAAAGTTCAACTGAGTAAGAATTTCAGAGTTTCTGTGCTTTAGTTGTGCAAAACGTGATGATCCAAGTTATCTCGTAAACTATAGCCTATCTATCTCATGGACTTCAATGGAAGGAAGGAAAGCTGACCTTTTGCACGAATGAGTTCACATGGTGAATGCCGCTTTGCTTTTTTGTGACTATAGTGAACAAATAGTGCAGAATCCTAATTAGTAATTACATTGTAACATTATTTTAAAAAATCTACAAAAATCTATTTATTTCCAAGAAATAGATTTTTAATGTGATTCAACAAAACTTAATTTTCTACTTGTAAATAATTAGCTAAAAGTGTTTAAGAACGATGGTGTTTTGAGAGCTAAGCTCAATTTAAGAGGGAACTATATGCACTCAAATGGGAAAAATGTTAACATTCATTAATATCTCATCGTAGTCATTTCACATTTTGAAGACTGACTGCTATTACCCTCGTGAAAAATGTCCAATAGCATATTTGTAATATTTATCAGTGTTGGGAGTAATGCATTATACAGTAAGTAACACAAGTTACGTAATCAGATTACTTTAAGTAACTAGTAAAGTAATGCATTACTATTTAATTTACAAAAAAAAAAAAAATTCAAATAAGTAAGGCAAGTAACTTTGTTTTCCCATTTATTGACTCACCGCTCTCCTGTCCCCACGTTGAGAAATCATGCGCTGTGTGAACATGCGGTGTTTCTGTAGTTCTAGACTAAATATCACTTGTACAAAAACAGTTTCATTATTTCATCAAAATGAATAAAAACGGTGAAATGCAAACTCAGAATACGATGCAAACCTGTAATAGGGGCCTAATTAAAACTTAAATAACACAAATATCCTTTATGTTTTTAAACCAATGTTTTTACTGCTGGCCTTCGATGATCCAATTCAACCATACTAATAACCACACCATTTCCTTCAGCCTGAGGTTTATTCTTTTCACTTTTGGTGTGAAAGGGCTTTTACATTTGCCAGAAATGGATTTTCATATTGAAAGCACATTACAAATGTGAAAAAGTAAGGCAAAAGTAGCATAAAAACTTACTTCAAAACTTACTTAACATACTTTCCATAAAAAAAGTAACCAAGTAATGCAAATAGTTACTTTTTTAGGGAGTAACACAATATTGTAATGCATTACTTTTAAAAGTAACTTTCCCAACACTGGTATTTATTATTAAAATAATATACTTTAATGAATATACTTAAGTCTGAACTGAATGTCATGTTTTTGTACATGCAATTGCATGCTATTTACAATCAATTGAACATGTATTAGATTAAATTTATATTCAATGCAATAAGTACAACCTGAGGTTGTTTTTTTTTTAACCAAATTAACTACATTTTCATATGAATTTTAATAATTATACTGTCTTTGAGATGTGGTTAAAGTGTGATGCTAAATGTACTGACAAGCATTTATCATTAAAAATATACTTTTATTATAATTTATATTAACTTGAATGTCATGTATGTACACATTTGTAATGAAGTTGCAATTTAGACTTTAAATGTAATGTTAAAAACACACTACAGTTAATATATAATCAAGTACTTTACATGTGCTTTAAAACACGACAAATGAATATTAAAATAATTGTTTAAAATGTACTTAAAGTAAAACTGATTAACGCTGTTTAAGCGTTAAACATGAATGTTTCTCCTTAAGTGCCCTTTTATTCAAACTGCAAGTGCTTTTTGTAAATATACTTTTAAGATTTGAAGTGCACTACAGGTCTGCGTTCAAAACTGTTAAAGGGACAGTTCACCCAAAAATGACAAATTCTGTCATCATTTACTCACCCTCCACTTGTTCCAAACCTGTATGAGTTTCTATCTTCTGCTGATCACAAAAGATGTTTTGAAGAATGTTGGCAACTGAACAGTTGACGGTAACCATTGACTTCCATAGTATGGGGGAAAAAAATTAAGAAATACTATGGAAGCCAATAGCTATCAATCATTTTGTTTCCAACATTCTTAAAAATATAATCTTTTGTGAAGCTCATACAGGTTTGGAACAACATGACGGTGAGGAAACAATGACAGAATTTTCATTTTTGGATCAAACTTTGTCCTAAATTTAAAGCCCTAAAGTTAAGAATAAAGCTTTTTAAACCATACTTTTCAGCAATAACATTAAAACAATCTTAGGTAAGACTTGTTTGTTGTATAACTTGTGCATAATACTGTCTATCTACTTGAACTTTTTTTTTTAACTTCACTTATAACACTTTCACGTATCGCAAGAGCGAAGATGTATTCAGAGGAAAGATGTACTATCTGAAACGGTTAACTGCAAATGTTATCTTAAAATTGAACACATCCTGTTTGCTAAATAGATCTCTGCTTCACAAAGCAGCAGCGCATGTCTGTCAGTAGGAGCACAATTAATCACCTACCAGCTTCTTAAAGGCACAACGGCCAACTGAATTCATCTAAACCGAAGCAATTGTTTTATTTCTGTTATCAGTGCATTTGATTTGTGCAATGCTATTATTAGGCACCAGACTATGTTAGAAAGACTAGTTCTCAGGGTGTTTTCCCTTTCGCAAGTCTGCAAGTGTGCCAATTGGGACAGAGCCATTGAGTGCAGCAGAAATGACGTGTTTTTGTAGGCTGACCGGAAGTTTGCGTCACTCAAGTTCCCGCAACAAAAACCCAATACGTTGTTTCCATTGGCTTTTGGATTGTTCCAGAAAAGAACCTCTGTGACTAACAAAAGTTTATGATTCTTACACGTTAATCTTCACAAATGAACA